TGGGCAGGAATGGTGTCCCTAGCCTCTGTTTGCCAGAAGCTGGGAATGAGCGACAGGGGATGGATCACTTGATGATTACTTGTTCCATTCATTCCCTCTAAAGCATCTGGCATTAGCCACTGTCGAAGACAGGATACTGGGCTAGATGGACCTTTGGTCTGACCAAGTAGGGCCAGTCTTATGTTCAGTTGGTCATCTACAAGGATCCCTAAGACCTTTTCAGAGTCACTGCTTTGCAAGATTAAGTCACCCATCTCATAACTCACCACTCTTTGTTCCTATTCGTAGGAACTTGCATTTGTATTAAAACACACTTATCTGGTTTGTTCCCAGTTTATCAAAAGATCAAGATTTCTCTGTGTCAGTGACCTGTCTTCAACATTATCTCCCGCCTCACCAATCTTTGTGTTGTGCAAACTTTAGCAGTAATGATTTTATGATTTTTTTCCTAGATCACTGATAAAAATATGGAATTTGATTCATCCATCTCTTTAAAAAGAGCTAAAAGGTGAATTCAGACTAAACTGGCCCTGGATCCACAAACCTTTACCACTTACCACTTACCATGGTAGCCACCTAGGTGTGCTACTCATGCATTCTGCCGTATATTATACTGCTTTCAGCTTCTAATCTCTAGGCTCCTCCAAATCCCAAGGCTCCTCCATGAATCTTTTCCAGAAAGGATACATTTAAATAATCTATGGTGATATTAATGGCTTTGGAGCACCCATTACACAGTAATTATTCTGGCTATTTCTTTCTTAATCTTCCTGTACTTTCTTCCTTCTGGGCATTTACAATTTTTTCATTAGGTGAATTTTTTTGGCAGTTTCTGTAAATTCACCTACCAGAGCTATTATTTTCCACAGAGTCTAAGAGCTCCATCTACTGGTTAGATGCTATCATGAAACACTTTTTAAAATAGTTTGATTCACCAACTAATATTTCAGTTGAATATGCCATAAAAAATAGGACACACAATCCTACATTAAGGATTAGCTAAATTTCTTTTAATATACTGACATATATAATTTCTTTTAATATACTTATGTATATCAATTTATTTCATTATATATATATGTAGCAGGGCAGCCTGCCCCTTTAAGGACCTGTGAAACCAGTGAGCAGCAAGCCCTGGCCTAAGGAGAACCCCAGCAGGCAGGTGTCGGAAATCAGCTGATAAAGCTACGCAGTAGCTAATGATTGGCTCTGATTCCCAGCTGGAAGATATAAATAAGGCCCCACTCTCTTCATTGACTAAGAGAGAACTATTGAGTCTCGTGATATGCCTTTTCCTTTCCCCTTGAATTGAGCATGCTACCTCTGCAACCCTAGACCTTTCTGGCTAAGGAAGTGGGAGAAAAGCAATAAACTCCAACCCATGTAGTCTACTGATCTAGAAACCCAAGGTAGGTGAGGTAATATCATTTATTGGACCAACTGCTGTTTGTGAAAGAGACTAACTTCTAGGCTACACAGAGCTCTCCTACTGATCTAGATATTTGTACCACACCCAGCACTGTAACATAAGTATCTGTTACATGGCAGTGCAGAACATTACCACTAGGCTACAGGACCGGTTTTGACTTGTTTGTTTGAAATGTGTTTCTGCGAGTGTTGTCACGTGAAGGTGTGATTGCTAGGGACACTACTTTATTGCTGCTGAATACCAGAGAAAGGAGACTGTGTATCGTTGGATTTATACATGAAATCCTCAGGTAAGTGATACAGAATATGAGGTGGTATTATAAATACTCACTGGAGACTATGTAACAAATCTAGTAGAGCAGTCAGACAGACATGCTTATCAGCTGTATATTTGTGGTATCAAATAAAACCCCCACATCCTTCAGCTTCAAAAACCCAAATCTCTAGCAGTTAAGCTAAATGAGACTCCCCATTAGCACAGAAAGGCATTTATGCCCTTTGTGAGCCAAGGACAACCTGATCACACACTTAAGCCAGTACATGACAATGGCAGTTCTCCCCGTTTTCATAATTTCAATAGAATAAGTATCACCTGTTGTGCTATGAAACTTTATTTCCTTCTGGCATGCTATGCAGAATAAAGCAGAGTCATAATTTCAGAACCCATTCAGAAAATGATTTACCTCAGGAAAGGTGTTATCTACAACTAGTAACAGAGGTACCTGCCTCTGGAGATTTCCATTACTTGCATCTGAAGAAGTGAGGTTCTTACCCACGAAAGCTTATGCTCCCAATACTTCTGTTAGTCTTAAAGGTGCCACAGGACCCTCTGTTACTTTTTACAGATTCAGACTAACACGGCTACCGCTCTGATATCTACAACTAGATTATGTATGTAGATCTACAGATTAATTTTTGAGTTACACTTACGTTGATGCTGCAGTTTCTGTTTGTCTAAAACAGTGGTCTCCAAACTTTTTTGATCGCGCACCCCTATCAGTAAAAAATGTTTGAGCATGTACCCCCTGCTGCGCCAGCTCTATCATTTTTGCTGAAGCAAAAAAAAAAAAAGCTGCCCAGACTCCTGCCTGACAAAGAAAAAAAAAAAAAGCACTCCTCCCCCAAGGATCCTCTTGCGCACCCCACTTTGGAGACCACTGGTCTAGAACACATTCCATTTAATTAAGACATAATAAAATTCCAGTTGAGTAAGGCCATGTCTACACTTACAAGCTTACAGTGGAACATCTGTACGAGAGCTCACGTAGCCACGTTATGCTGACAGGAGAGAGCTCTCATGTTGACATCATAAAACCAGCTCAATGAGTGACATAGCGCTGTGCACGTGAGCATTTATGCCAGCAAAACTTGTCACTCAGGGGTGTTTTAAGGATGAATTAAGCGGCTTTAGGTAGTAAGATAGCTGGAAACAGTACAAGCCACCACCTAATGTGACAAGTCACAGGGCAAGGCCTGATGAGAAGCCAGCCCTGTGGGCTCCAAAGTTCCCTGCTTGAAAAAGCAGGGGCTAGGGTTTTGTTTTGGCAGGCTGTCTGTGTGTTAAAGGAGCACAGCCCTTAGAAACAACAGAGACAGAGCTCCATGGGGGACAGAAATGACTGGAGGGGCAGACTTGGAAATTGAGTGAGGAAACTGCTTGTGTTTTTTTGTTTTTGTTTTCCTAGTGTGTTCAGGGAAACAGGTTTTTGTGTACATTTCTTGTAAATAAATGGGACTGTATCAAAGAAATACCTGACTGATGTAACCAATTTCTCCTCCCAATGGAAACAACCTTTAAGGGCAGGCTCCAATATTGACTAACTACTTGCCCCAAAGAAGCAACACCAGCTATAAGCCTCTGCCAAAACTGATTTAACCTGCGTTCCAGGTCCATTGTTCAGAGTTCTCTCTAGTGAGGGTTCCACTATTACTATTCAGAAATTTATTGGCACATTTCTCAAAATCTTTCAGCACAATTTGGGGAAAAGTCACTTTGAGCCTTCTTCACTGGTAGATCTGAGTTACTTTTAACTTTAGAGTTAGGACAATCCTAATTCCTAATCTGGTGGCAGGTTGCTAAACAGTATCATGCCATTTCTGCCATTTCTTGCTCCTTTCTTTGAAGATCAGGCACAGTTTTTCTTTCAGTTTTTGGTTAGAAGTCTTCTGAGTCCTAACATTTTGAACAAATATATTCTCCTTTTCATACTAGTAGAAAGTATTTCTTTAACTCAGAATTCCTCTCTTGCATTGGCTGCACAGTCTCTCCTCTCTGGGTTTATTGTGCTTCGTATCTACCTCTTTCCAATCTCTAATCTGTGGTCACTGAGTCTATATTTGGTGAGAGTGTACCTCAGGTTTGCATATTTCACTGTGGTGGGGTAGTCTGCTAGGTGACAACCAGGGTTTATGTCTAGTTTTAAACTGAACCCGACTTCAGTCACATACAGTAGAACAGGTTGGATTATAGCCATCAAATAGTTTTAGCAGTAGTTTTATTGGAAAGGTGTAGACATCTAATAGTTCCTTTATGGTGTTGAAGACCCACAGAGTTTCAGCTACATGAGGACATTTGTAAACCATCTCAGATTCCATGAACCTCTGTAGATACAAACATGTGCTTGATAGTTGAAATATTATGAAAGTTTGTTTCTCTAGGGTCCCATTTATGCCAGAAAAAAACTGTTAGCCAGAACTGTTTATAAATATGACTCTTCCCAGAAATGTGCTGATACAGTTTCCTGGGCTAGTCTAGAACAAAACTAAACCATATTTTAAAATATTTTGGGCTAACCGTTTCCATTTTAGTATAAATGGGAACTATGCATAGGCTGGGGATCATTTGTCCTTAAAGCCACTTTCCATCCTGGCATCGCTGCTGCCATCTCTGGAAGGTTGGGATGGATGGAACAGAAGAAGGAATGTTTCACTGATGTTACATCTTTTAGGCAGCAATTTCTTTAAAAAATGATGGAAACATAAGAATTTATTTATCAGATAACAGCTGTGGTCTATCTAGTCACCTCTGCTGTGGGGCAGCGGCCAGTACGCATGGTCCCACAGGAACATGCAAAATCACCGTAACGGGCAACTGTGGAATAACATGCTCATATAAGAGAATTTGCTAAGCCCCCCAGTTAGTGGATGCCTTATGCCCTGAGGCATGTGGGTTTGTGTTTTGGTGTATGTTTTCTGAAGCTTGTGTGGGACTTGAACTTACCCTGGCTACAGCATTCTTTCTGTGGATACTGTACTTCTCTGGTACTGCTGACGGGCTCGGGGGGCGGGCCGGGACGCAGCTCTGAAGCACAGGCTGCCTGGGGCAGAACGAGGCCTGCAGCGACCCCATCCTCGCACGGGGCACGAGCGCAACCAGCTGGGCAGATACGTTCCGTGAGTCACACGCGGAGCGCCGCGGGGGCAGCCCTCCGCCCCTGCCCAGCTGTAGAGCGGTCACGTGACCAGCCCAGCAGGCGGCCGCCCGCTGCTTTCATTGGTGCAAAGAGCCGCCCCTCCCCGGAGCAAACAGGTGCGCATGAGCGATTGGGCCACGCCCCCCGTCGCTTCCGTCTTCTCGGGTAGGCGGAAGCAGGAGCTGCGGCGGAGGGGGAGCGATGGAGGCAGCGAGGCCGGAGCCGGCCGCAGCGAATGGCGACTGCAGCCGCCCCCTGTCGCTCTCCGGACAGTCCTACTGGCTCGACGTGTGGCTCTTCGTCCTCTTCGACCTGGCGCTGCTCGTCTTCGTCTATCTGCTGCCCTGAGCCCGCGGGTGAGTGAGACCCGGACCCGCTCCTCTTTTCCCCCCCCCCCCCCCGACCCTGCTTCCCCCCACGGGCCCCGGCTCTATCCCCCCCTCCCCGGCTCCCCAGTCTGTGTCCTGCGGTAAAACCCACGGGCTCTCCGCTGCACCTCCCACCTCGTCTGGGCAGCCCCGTGATGATTATTGCTTAAGGGGCTTCACTTACGTGTGGGAAGTAGGGCCCAGCGCTGTTGGCAGTAGCGTGTATTTGGGGTTGAAGTGCTCAGTGCCTCTTGGCTGTTTCAGGCTGACTTTCCATGGAAAGTGGCCGCCAGAGTGGTTCAGGTGTGGCCGGGAAAGAGGCTAGGGGACAGTATGTTGCTTTGCCCAGGTTTAAAAAAAATTCTGGCTGTTATTTCTTGGAGAAGCCCAGGTGTGGCCATGCTTTGGAGCAGGGACTCAAACGTTAGCACGGGGCAGTCTGGTGCCAGGGATCTGCCTTTTGCTGTTTCTGTGAAAATTCATCCGCGTTATAAACTTTTGAACCACTGCAGTTTGCACACGCTCAGTAGAGGCTTGTTAGCAGCTTGCAGCTAAGAACTGGGAAGGTTCTGAGCATGCGTCACCCTGGTGCTGAACAGAAGTTTCCTTACAATGGTAGTTCTGGGCTGCCCCGTGCTATTGTGGGCCCGGGTCCAGGCACCAGCACCCAGAGCTGGGAGACTGCCTCTTTGTGCTCTCAGTGCCCTCCTGCTGTGCCCAGGCAGCTGGGTGCTGGAGGTTACCTGATTTGGGAACAAAAGCCAAATTTGCAGGGGTGGGAGCCAGTGGGGGAGGGAACACAGGCCAGTATTTGGAGAGGCTGGACAGGGTAACCAGTGGAGATTGGGGCTAAGTGAAGAGAAGAGGAACAGGTGGGACTAGAGTTGAGAGGTTGGAAGGGAACAGGGCAGGAAGGGGTCAAGATTGGGTATGAGGGGGAAGGTCTGTGCTTTACTAGCGCATACTCCTCTCCAAAGCCTGCAATGGAGTCCAAAACTCTCCATTCCTCTGCTGTCAGTGTCTATACAAGTGGCAAAGTCTGGTGCTTGTGGAAGTAGAGAATGACAGCCTATCAGTTACTCTGTTAGCTCAAGTGGCAGAGGCCTGTGCAGTGAATCAAAATGTCCCAACCCTGTTGATGACCCATGTGCGTGTCAGTGTGAAGCCACATGATGGAAACTGCAATTTTTTTGTTTGCCTTTTTAAATAAAACCTATATCAGTGGGTCCCAAACTTTAACAACCTGTGAACCCCTTTCACTAAAATGTCAAGTCTTGCAAACCCCCTCCTAAAAATGAATATTTCCAGGGATTTTCTCCTTTACCTGAGTATAAATTATAAAAGCAGTGATCTTCGAAATATAAAATTTGTTTTTATGACATGCTTATTACACACTGTTTATTATTAAGTGTCCCTGGCCTCTGTTTGCCAGAAGCTGGGAATGGGCAACAGGGGATGGATCACTTGATGATTACCTGTTCTGTTCATTCCCTCTGGGGCACCTGGCACTGGCCACTGTCGGAAGACAGGATACTGGGCTAGATGGACCCTTGGTCTGACCCAGTAGGGCCATTCGCCTGTTGTTTATCATTACAGTATTTTTATTACGTTATGAAAATGGCAACACTCTTCCAAGATCTCACTTTCGTAGCTTGTATCACTTTGAATAAGCCTGTCATAAGACAAGGCTCCTATGTTTCATCAAGGAGTATCAGATGTGAAACAGCATGAAAGTATTTAAGACAACTCAGAGTTCCTCCTACATAAGCATTCAGGTCTTGAGCAGTCCAGACAAACAATGCACGTTACAACAAAGCTTAAACTTGTTCATCATAATTTTAAAACAATACTTTCTGCCTATTTAATTTTAAAAACAGCAAAAAATATCCACCTCCCTTTCCATTTCTTATAAGGAGTCTTGAAGTTTAAATCTCCTCAGTGTGATAGACATGTTTGCTTTGATCCTCTTAGCTCTTGAAAGTCCAGGGGGCCCGTGCTGGCCGGGTCCCTAGGGACAGCTCTGTCCGCCATTAGGGAATTTTTTTCCGAGAACCCCCTGTAACATTTCTTGAACCCCAGTTTGGGAACCACTGCCCTATATTAAGAATATTACTGAGGATGCAAAATCAAGCACTCAAAAGTTAGGAAATGCCAGAATGCCTGTCCAATTGTAATGAGTGCCAAAGAAAAGCCCATGAGGAGGGTTTGATTAAGGTGCAGGAAATAAGGCATGGGACTGCACACTGAACAATGGGAATGTAATATTAAATAGTTGCTCATTAAGTGAGCACTGAATGAGCCAAGAATTTAGTGGGAAGAAATATGATTCATAGGCCCAAGGGTTCTGAATTAAGGTTGTCTTAATTCTGGCATTTCCTAACTAGACTACTTGGCTTTTCAACCTTTGTTCTTCTAACATACATTTTGGATGTGTGTACATACACTTAGACCCACCATCATCCATCCCTTCTTTCCAAATAAAACCCCTTGCAGTTTCCATCTGGGCAATTGCTCATGAGATTCCCAAACTTGCACTACTATATATATATATCTGCGACAGGATGCTTAGCTAAACTACAAAGCATCTACTTATATCTGTGGCTTTGTCAATACAGGGAGTGCCCTTCAAAGGGTAAGTGCAGAAGTTAACTTCCCATTAGGTATCAGTAGGGTACTATAATGAATCACACTAACAGCAAAGCTGTCCATTGCTAATATACTTTTCCCGAGTGGTTGTCTTGCTCGAATATCATTTCTATTTTAGATTTAGGAAGCATGTAGAAATTCACAAGCCAAAGATATCCAAAATGAGCACAGAGCCTCTGATCATGGCTGGCATCTTGCATTAAGAAGGTACAAGGTCGGAGTAGAAATGTCAGTTCTGTCTCTTCATTACTGTGGGTGGGAAGTGACTAATAAGCCTTATTTAACAGTGTTGCTGACTAAAGGAAAGTCCTGTCACATCTTGCTTCTCTGTTAATGAGAATTGCAATATTTTATACATTTTGCAGGGCTTTTTCAAATGGCATCCAAATGTGCAAGCATAAAAAAAACGCTACTCCCTTTGCAAAAGGAATGCTGGCACACACAGGGCCGAAGTCTGTGCCTGTGATCTCATGGGCATATTACTGGCTCGGTGCTACCCTACCTTCCCCACCCTTTTTCTAGAATGTGGCAGGACAGAATGAGGTGTGGCTGAAGTGGGCTGTGCTTTTGCAACCTGCTTGGTGTAATGCTCCTTAAGGAGCTGTTAGAAGTAGTACAAGTTAGAGCAGCCCTGAATCTACTCGAATTTGTTCCAAGGACCTAATCTGCTCCTACAGCCCTAGGGCACAAGGAAGCACAAATGGTTTAAAAGCAGGCTTCCCTGTTTCAAAGAGAACTGTTGTTTTTGAGCAGAGGGCTGGCACATGTAAGACTGGAGGTGACTAAACCCAGTAAGATGTCTTAAAAGTGGAAATCTGCAACTAGAGCTCTGATTAGTTAAAAAGTATGGTGAATAAACCAGAGTTCTGATAAACAACTTTTCTACCAAAAATAGATCTGAAAGCTTTTGAATTTAAAGAAAGTTCTGTCCAGGCAGTTTTCCCATTTACTTTTTCTCCCTCTTCTAGGTCTATTTCTGTTGTGCTTCATATGTGGCAGAAATTAAATCAGTATTAAAATTCTGAAACTTGAACTTTCAAGCAGAGATGAGAAGGAAAAATCTATGAAAACAAACCTGTCAAGCAGCCACAGTGCTATCACGGATAACACAGCAAATTTCATATGTTAAAGTTTCAAATAAATAGTGGATCTATTGACAGATCTTGATCTGGTTGGTAACATATTAGTATTAAAGTCTTTTTTAAATCGATACATTAGAAACTGATAGTTTTATAGCTCAAACAGCACTGGACTGGTATAAAGGTAATTAAAGCTGATGTTCCTTTCAGTATATTGAAGAAAACAGCACCTAATCTATGGGTATATCTGTGCTACAGCAGTATCATACTATGGATCAGGGGCGGGCAAACTTTTTGGCCTGAGGGCTGCATCGGGTTTTGTAAATTGTATGGAGGGTGTTGTGACCTGGCTCCTATCTGCTCCCCCCCGTCTTCTATGTAATCTCCCTTGCTCCCTGCCCCCTTACTGCGCTGCCTGGAGCACTGGTGGCTGGCCGCACTACAGCTGCGCCGCCCAGCTGGAGCTGGGCCATGCTGCTGCTGCCACCACACAGCACAGAGCACCGGGTCAGGCTGGCTCTGCAGCCCCGTGACCCAGAGCATTGCGCTGGTGGCAGAGCGAGTGAGCTGAGGCTGTGGGGGAAGGAGGTCAGCAAGGGAGGGGCTAGCCTCCTGGGCCAGGCCGGACAGTCCTGGGGCCTGTAGTTTGCTCACCTCTGCTATAGATGCTTCCTATATTGATGGAAGGGTTTTTTCCCCTCTATGTAGTTAATCTACCTCTCCAAGAGGCTGTAGTTCTAGCCCCATCTACACAGGAGATTAGGACCTTCTGATGGTGCTCAGGGGTGCAACATTTTTCACATCCTTGAGTCATGAAGTGAGGTTGATCTAATTTTTTTAAAGTATAGACCTATGCTTATTTCCTTTCTTACTGACTTTATACCACTGAAAATGTAACCTGCCTTTTCCATTCCTCATAGTGGCAGCTCCTATTCAAGATGAGGAACCTTTTTTATAAAAACATGCTTTGGAAGAGGAAGACTATACGTGCAACAGGACAACTGGAAATAACACTCTCAAACCTGTTAAGCCACTGAGTGCTAGTGGTTCACATTGATCCATTCATGGATGTACTGATTTGAGGGGGTCTGGTTCATCTATAGCCTATTTACTTCAGTGACAATGTAAATTGTGCCTTAAGTTAAATTATTTCAAAAGTTTGAGGATACTCTAGTTTCCTTAGCAGTAATATTGATTGCTCATTTGTCTTTTACATAATGTTCAGTGTTTGAATAAAGATAATTGAAAAAATGGAACTTCAGACTGGCTGGATAGGTTAGTTTATTGGTTATGACATCCTTTTCTGACCTGGCAAGATCAACTTTCAAACACTTCCATGCAGCTCTGTCCCTCTGAGGCTTCTTATAGGAGCTCTGTCTAGAGACAAATAATGGCCACAATAATACTTTTTTACTGATGTCCTCTTAAATTACCCAGCTTACTATGCTGGTTGCTTACTACCACTATCCTTCCCTACTGGAATAACCTGTAGTGCTGTGGGTACACACAGGGCCACATTGTTAAAGGCATCCTCCTCTGTGCTAACCACTATTATATCTCCTCTAAAATATCAAGCAGGTTTTGACATCAAAATCCCATTGTAACTAAGTAAGGCATGTAAAAAGGCAAGCCTGGCTGCTCAAAGCTTGCCTCCATTTAAAGGGCTGCACTGGTGAAGATGTGACCTACACCACTGGGATGGCTTTTCCTGTTGGCATAGGTACTCCACCTTCCTGAGGCAGTAGCTATGTTGATGGGAGAAGGTGGACATTGGCATAGGGTAATTAGATCAGTATAACTACATTGCTCAAGGGTGTTAATTTATACTAACCACTCAACTACATACTCAGAGCCTCACTGGTTTGTTAGAGTGCTACCCCAAGCCATTGCTGCTGCCCTGTAGTTTGTGCTAGCACACCTGTTTGTCCCCAGTGGGGAGCATGTTCCTACCACCTTCACTGAAATTATATCCCACCCCCTAAATGAACATGGAATGCAGCACTTTCCACCAAATGCATGTGACATCTCTGCTCTAGCTGAAGTAAGTAGGTGAAATGTTGCAGGATCACACTGGTCCTTTAACAACTGAGCTTTAAAAGAGGGCATGTGGGCTGAAGGGGAGCCACAGAAGGAGTGGAGAAAACAGACAAGAGGTTCAAGAGAGCCAGAATCCCCAGAGAGAAAAAACAGTGAGAAGTGCAGCTCACATAGTTGAACTGTTTTTGATTTATGCAGTTTTGTTGTCAAAGAGCTTGAGGGCATAGCCCAGGGTGCAAAAGCCAATTTTTTTTATAGAAAAAGCCAATTTTTTACTATAGAAAAATCACAAGTGCAGCTATGTAATAGCTAATTGAGTCATTGGTCACTAAACCTTTTAAAAAAATCTCCTCCTTAGATAAGCAAAGTTGAAGTATTTGACTATGTAGTAGGCGATTCCATTAGTGTCACCAGCAGCTCTTATGCAGAGAGAGAAGCTGTAGAGCTAGATGTTAACCACATCTTCATGAATGAAAGTTTTACACAAATATGCTTCCTGCTAGTGTACTTGAGTAAGCTGTAACAGTGATCAGACATAGTTTAAACAACCTTACACTTGAACCTCATATAAAACACAGTATGTTAATGGTCAGCTTTAAATGTGGATTTTAAAAAAATTGTCAAGAGCAAGTTCAGAATTCTGTCTTGAGAAAAAACAGCATATTACATGCAACTAGCAGAAGACAAACTTCATTTTTTTGCACATGCAGCAGAACTGATGGTTCAAACATGAGAGATCTAGGAAACGTCAATATTTATTCTCTGCAAAGTTAAGTAATTCTAAGGTTTTTTTGGGGGTGGGGGGGTTAAACACGAGGTATTCCTGGCTAATGTGTTTTAGTGAAGGTGTGAGCATCACTGTTCAAATTAGATAGCTGAGAACTACTCTCAAGCACCATAAATCTATCTTCTGTTCTTAGATGACCAACCTAATTTGCAAATAGTTAGTTGATGGTGTTCCAGCATTTTGTTTCACCACTTTTAAACCACCTGTGTAAAATAATACAGAGAGAATAGAGGTAGCAGCCACAAAAGTAGTTAGTTTTTATCTAATAGTCTGAACATGCAGAAAAATGCAACTTTGCATGAAAATAAAATTCTAAAGACTGAAAAATATATTAATTACAATACCTGTTAAATGCATTAAAACATTACAAAATGTCTATGTTCTTATACAAATCTATAACCAGGACATTTATAAAAAATAAATAGGCACTCTAGCTAAATCAATGTCAGATCATACATTAGTTAAATATTAAATAAACATAGGGCCTGTAGAGTAAATATAAAAACTGAAGGTGTCAATTATATAATAGTGCACATATAACTTATCTGGTAAACAGGTCATATACAAAAGGTTTTGCCTGGAAAGACAGCTTCAAGCAAAGCAAAGAAAGATCAATGTTCATCTAAGTGACTTCAATGAAGATTGTTGCATTTCAGAACCCCAGAAGAACCTAAGCAGCTAGTCTTGAGTAAACTCACCAATTATGCTCACTAGCTTTCTGGAAACCAAATTCACTTGTTTGTGTTATTAATAGGCATTCACATTGTTCCTTTGTATAGAAGTATGAATGTTTGCTATGAACAACATTTTAAGTTTGCTCTTGTATAGTATTCAGTGTTGTTGCTGTGCTGTTTATACATTAAAATACTGCAATTTCAAATACACCTCAACCCCGATATAACGCTGTCCTTGGGAGCCAAAAAATCTTACCATGTTATATTGAACTTGCTTTGATCTGCCGGAGCGCGCAGCCCCGCCCCCCTGGAGTTCTGCTTTACCGCGTTATATCTGAATTCGTATTATATCAGGTCACATTATATTGGGGTAGAGGTGTACAAGATTTCTGGAAAAGCTTGACAAGTTCTAGTACTATTTAAGTTTTTTAAAGATGTAATTTTAATTAACTGTGTACATTAAGTAATGCCTATCTGGTATGGGTTAAAAATTCATTTTTAAAAGCTATTTTTAACAAACAAAAAGCTTAACAGTGGGAATCTTCCATGCTGTCACACATCCAAGTGTTTTTAAATCAAGTTCTTTCTCCCCACCCAATATGTAAGGATTTCAGTAGGTTCAATTTCACTTGCATTCATATCCATACATGTTGAATGTATTTGCTTTAGATGTAACAATATCAATTCCAGAATTAATTCTTTCAAATGCTACTAGGTGATTGAAAAGTATAAAGGGACTGGTTTGAGATATTTGGTCTGAGGCATATCATGTTTGCATTATATTAAAAATGACAAATCTTAGGACATTGCCAAAGTAACCAAAGCTTCTGTTTTATATTTTGGATAACTTAAAATACACATGACTGTCACCATTTGGTTGAAGCACTGTAATTCACATAATGTACAAAAACATTTAAACCTGTCTGACCACAGGGCAAGTATAACATACATATGTAGCATTAAGCTCAGAACTAAAAGGCATTTTACACTTAACTGTAATCAGTACCACCCAATTTTAAAAAACTAAGCACCTTCCTTTACATTTAAGAAAGCCATGAGCTTCAACTACTCATTCTACACAGTCCTGCTTTGGTAGCGTTCATTACAAGTTACATTAGTTATTTCAATGGCCAACAAATGGTACAAAGCATTAACGGATTACAGTGAAGCTGAATTCTGAACCTCCCTAAAGGGTGCAGATTCAATTAAAAGCCTATCCAAAGGGGTTGTAGATTCACCCATTCATTGAAAATACAGTCTAGAAATGTTTTGGAGTGGGAGACTGCTAGCTGGGGACAAAGTTCTGTAACAGTAAGTCAAACTGACTGATCCCATAAATTTGCTCAGGTTTATGTGAACCACAGTGATGTATTTTCAAGAGGGAAGGTGAAAAGACAGACAGGTACATAGTAGGGTTGAATTTGATTTTGCAGCTGTATGCAATCTGACCTGAAGAATAAGGTCTTGAATGTAAATGTACTGCTTCTTAAATTAATCTGTTGTAGCTACGTGACAACTTCATATCCTAAAATATATTAGTTTCTACAGCACATTGCAGACTACTATATTAATTTGTAGCTTACATAGCTAAATTAAATTTCAGTAATAAGTTAAATTATCATGGCTTTGCTTGTGGAACACTGACTAGAATTTAAGTTAAGGAGCAAACAGTTGGATAAAAAAGTGTACAAATATGGAACTGGAGTTTTAGGATAATTTAAAAAAAATCTCAATTCCCTTGTAAAGTTCTGTTTGTAGTTCATGTAGACTACACTAATTTGTAAAATCACTCATTAAGGCATCATTTTGAGTACTAAAAATCCAATTCTCTGGGTAAACTTGCATTAAAAAAAAGACACTTAAAGGAAATTAAGTTAGACTTTCACAGAAGTCAGATGAAGAAATAGGTAACACATTGTTACTCATTAGGAACAATGGTTCCATAAAGCAGATATTGTTCTGATATGTACCATGCCATGTATGGTACTGTGTTTATCAGCATATCACTAGCTAGTTTAAAGGATTACAGGTTAATTTACACCTTTTTTCAGTCTGTGAGCACTAAGCCACAAGTGTATTAAGCTCTCCAGTAAAATGAACAACTTTTTATTTAGTTAATCTCGTATGCTGACTGATCTACCTAGGTATTAATTAAAAGCACACACTTAAGGGGGCCATTTGTAACAGACTTACAAACTTATTCAGCATCATCACATGGAGGTAAACATTGTTAAGGCAAGAAAAATGACAAATCCATGGCCAAAACTTTAGCACCTTTTCCCCTGCTCACCCAGATTTGAAGAATCATTTAAAGAGTCATATCTCTTAAAAGCATAGCTGACAGGATACCTAAGTATGCAGTGTTGTAGCTGTGTCCGTCCCAGGATAGTAGAGACACAAAGTGGGTGAGGTAATATATTTTATTGGACCAACTTCTGAGCTCTGGATACCTGTCACCACACATTGAGGAGTCCATGCTTCCTACCCCATAAGCAGACCATGTGAAATGCATAAGAAAATGGATTTGACAATCTACCTGTTGCAATGTATTCCTTCTATGCTAGGTTTGTATCTCTGTTCAGATGTTGGATGACTAGAATCAAGAGTACCAGGGTATACAATGCCCAGGTCTATTCCAGTTGGTGGTAGATGCTCATCTTTGTGAAAGCCACTGTCTGCAAAATACAGCTTGGGTCTCTGATGGTATTTCATCCTGTATGTATCTGTCATGCAGCTATCTACTGAAAAATAGGTTGTCAGAGA